TTTTCTATTTTCACCTAAAGTTTATTTGTTAATATATTAAACACTTCAAAAATCAGTCCTTAAGATCTACTACTTAAAATTTTCAGTGCTTAATTTTCAGTTCTTACTAAAAATTTTCAGCGCTTAATTTTGGCTTAAAATTTTCAGCGCTTAATTTTCAATTTTCACTTAATTTTCAGTTTTCACTTAAAATTTCCAGTGCTTAATTTTCAATTTTCACTTAATTTCAGTTTTCAATTTAAAATTTCATTATTTTCAATACTTAATTTCAGTTTTCAATTTAAAATTTCATTGCTTAGTTTTTTTCACTTTTCATTTAAAATTTTCACTTTTAGCTTAAAATTTTCACCGCTTAAATGTCGAAGGTTTTTAGTATCACAACTCTTAAAGAACACAATAATTCCTTATCCTTGTCAGAATATGTGATGTACTGCATTATCTTGAGAAAAATCTCCTAGATGTGTGAATATCTCTTAATTATGTAAACTTGTTTTGGGACAAAAATATGTTGGTCATTATATTTTCAACTTCAAAATTTTCAAACTATACATTGTAATCTATATATTCATTACTTTGAGAAAAAGAGAGAAAAAAAATTGAAATTTCTCTATTTTCGTATTGGCCGATCCATTATTTCACACCTAAAAAAAATCTAAATACCACAAATGGGGGGTTGGAGAGAAATATGCACAGTAGAAAATTGAAGCATATTATTTATATGGGAGTGTTCCTTGATATATTAATGATGAAAACAATGTTTTAAGGAAAAAAGAAAAAGAAAAAAAGAACACAAGGACAATAAAAATCATATTATTTTATATTATTCTGATGACGCATACTTAATGGTGAATAAGAGATGGTACAATGGAAGGTCAATATAGATTGGTTGTCATAAAATAGGTTCATTGTCATTGGTGACGATGGCACGACTGTTTTAAAACATGCATAAATTTAATTAAAAGTTTACATCATTTTCTATTCTACTTTGTTTATCTACTATTTTTGTCAATAATTTAATGTTACGATTATATAATCCATTCCAAGATTCCTTCAAGCATATTAATTAATAATTAATGATTATTGAGTTTTTGTGGCTGAGAATTAATTTATATTTGGCGGGTCAAACTTAATCACCACCCACCGTTTTATGGCATCATCGTCTGCGTAATGAAAGTCAAGAGTTTCACATCCATGGACCATGGGTGTGAATTGAATCCAGTTGAAAAGGTCAATTTCACATTTTATGTTCCTTTTTTGCAACATAAAAGGTCTAATATTGACAGATATTTGAAAGGTAAAGTAATTAACTCGAACATTCTACCTTTCTTTAGAGTGATAGTCGTACCGCTGGGTCACTTGCTCTTTAATATTGTCTTATGGTTCTTGTTCTAGATTATGGTTCTTGTTCGTAATCATGGATGGTATTGGAAAAAAATTTAAGGGTCATTTGAGTACATACAAATTTTTTTTGAGTAATATATATAATATGAATTTGTGGGGTTGAGTTTTTTTGTATACATATTGTGGGATATCTGCTGCATCTTCAGTTTGTTGCATTCTCAATTTTAATTATTGGATCCTGAGTCTAATTTTGGAAGGGATAATGGATGTTTAATTGCATCGGTAGGAGAGAATAATTATTTGTTGATGTGCAACATGTACCTGTTTATCATTGTATTTAGAAATTTTTATTTTTATTTTTTTATATAAGATTAATTAAAATACCATTATTACAAGGTTTGCCTCACCATATAAACGCCTTCGTAACCCAAGCGATTGAGTCTCTCTTGTCTTTGAAAACTCGACTTTGAGATAAAAAAAAGTAATAAAAAAGAATAAATGTACTAATTATCATATAATAAAATAACTTAAGTTATTATAAAGGAATTAATTTTTATTTCGTAATAATATCTAAAAATTTGAACTCCAACTACAAGTCTACAGCCACACAGACAAAAAGGGAAGAAGAAAGAAGAAAGAAGAGAGAAGAAAGGGACTTCATGGAAGTGAAGTGAAGTTTAATTTGATTCATTAAATAGTTTGCCAAACAAGCACGTTATGTTCAAAACGGAGTTTATCATTACTATCTCACGGAATAGATCGGATGACCCAACAAGACCAACAATACAGAAACCATGGGCATAATTCCGTGGGTTTGAAGATTCGTTTGGTTACCATATACCTATAGGCATATTGTTTGACGGATCCGAATGAGTAATAAAATGGGTATAAACGGATAACTATGTAGCACTACTCAATAATTTAAGTCTTTTAATTAGGGACAAACATTCATCCGTCATTATTAATATCAGAAGTAAACTCAATTTTAAAACCGATGTCACGTCAAGTGTCCGACCCAAAAGGGTCCGGGTTGTCACCCCAGTAGACTTTTGATATATATGTCAAATTTGGGTAACAGGGTAGGTGTGAATTGTTGATGATTCCATGAGTTTTTAGTTGGAAAAAAAAGGTAGCAGACATGCATGCACTTTACAACTTTCCTTTGGATTCATGATTATGCATTTTGAATGAGCAAATGAATCATTGAGTAACTGAATTTTCCACCTTTCAAACATTTCTCAAGAACTCTTGCTAATTCCTGGCTTTTTCCCTACTCAATCCTATTCTTCTTCAATAAGGAAAAGTATTTGATGTGTATTTGGATACTGACCACCAAATGTTTCTAGAAATATCACTAAGCAAAAAAGATTTTGTAGTGCTTCATATTAATTTCTGTCTTCCAATATAACACACACTACATGAAAATATATTAATACCATTATTAGTATTAGCTGAATTTAATTTGAACTAAATTAATTAATCCCCGTCTAGTGCTCCAGTTGGATTCTTGTAGAGTTCTTTAGATAGGACTCGAGCTCAGGTTGAGAAGGTTTGGATTGAGTTGACTTCTCAATTTATTTATTTTTGGCAAAAAACTTTGCTTACTCATTTTGTCTTTACATACACTTGAGCCGTTGGTGCCTCCTCACCCATGTTTTTTTTGGCGTGTAAAAAAAAATATAAGTAAAACTCTCTTTATCTGGATGTAAAATATTTTTTAAAAAGTATTTTTTATTTTTTAGTATTGAATTGTCGTAAATTATTTACGAAAGAAAATTTTATTGTCCCGCTTAAAGAATTAGACCTCAATTTCGACCTAAATTTATGTTTAATATTGAAAAATACAAATAAAAAAATATTTTATCTAAAAAATAAAAATATTTTCTGAAAAAAATATTTTACAATCTTTAATACCCTTGTAAATTTAGTTATCGGTGTGAAGACGCTCAGATTTATTAGCCAATGCTTTTTATGATCAACTTATATGGAGTACTTAGTTTCATCTAATGTATAGAACTATATATGGGGTAAAAATTGGAATTAACTGATGACTACGTTTGAATAAACCTTTAACAATGCGCATTCATTTGAATTAACCTCAATCGTTTGGTTGGAAGAAAGAGAGAGGCGGAAAGAAAAAAGGCAAGACTATTATAAAAGTTTTAAAATTACAAAATTTTCTTTATATTTAACACTATATTCTCTTCTTTTCCAGTAAACTAAATAAAACATTATCTCATTCTCTTCTTTTTCTTCCAACCAAACAAAGAGGAAATAAGCCAAAAGTATTACATGGTTGGGGGCAGAAAAGGCCAAAAGTATTACACTATTAATTAGACGCATATAAAAATCTATTCTATTTGTTTACCAATATTTTTTTTTTTTTTTTTTGGCTTATATCTTGTAAAATATGACATGGATAGGTACCAAAAAAATTTCAAAAAAGTTATTTTTATTTTATTTTAGAAAACACAATTTTATTTTATTTTATTTTAGAAAACACAATGAAAAATAAAATAGAGAATATAAACTAATTATGGCTTGAAATATTGCAAACCATAAAGTAAATAAACTCAACTATTCTTTGATTTTATCAATTAAAATGAATACATTAATTAAAAAACAGATGAATACAAACTACGTAAGGCTTTAAAATCACAGCAAACCCATTAATCAAATATATTAATCGAATCTACAATAATTCAAGCTACATAATTAGGATAAATCCATTTACTAAAGAGACACTATTGATTCAAATCAATCAGGATACTTAAAATCAAAACCCTAATTTTTTATTTTTCAATACTCTTATATACTAATTTACATACAATATCATTTATATTGAATACACATGTACATATACATAATGACAAATAAATACAATATATGGTTTATATGTTAACCCTTAAGTTAACATTTATACTCTTTTATGTTGCTACACGGACAACCATGAATAAGAATCAATGGAGATGACGAGAAATCTATGAGTAACCTTTGCTATTGTTTCATTTTTTGTAAGATAAAAGTAAAGTCCAAGTGTCCATGTGTGCGTGTGTGTGTATATATATATGTGTGTGTGTATTTGGGCTTAAAAATATTTTTTATTAATCTTGGGTTTAAAGTTGCCAAAGGCCCAATAAATAATTTTATTTTGGGGTCCAAGTATGGACTTAGCTACATTTAGTTTTCTTGGGCCATGTAGTAATAAATATTTTTTAAAAATTTGGAGGGGCACCTCCGTTTCATCTCGTTGGTGTCTTCTTTTCTGCTTTCTATCCAATTTTTTTTCTTCCTACCAAATCGGAGCATAAAGCATTATTCTTTTTGTCTGATGTTGATTTGCAGAACAATTTGTTTATATAAAAAATAATTAGGCATGTCATTTAGATGCTATTTTTTGAGTCTATATTCTTACCACTTCTCAAATGCACCAAAAAAAATTTAGCCAAAAATTTAAATCAACAAAGTAACTAAGAAAAATATTTGAGAGAGGAAAGAATTATAATGAGGATGTTTTCACTATTAACCAGTACAAAAGACTAAATATGAAGACAAAAGAGAAGAAATTAAGGACTTCACAGCTCAACTATTGCAGTATTCTTAATGTAGCTTCAATAGAGCCCCTTTATTGATCAAGTCCTAAAAAGTGTAACTTTGGGTTAATTTGATTTCAATGTTGCCACAGATTTGGGGTTGTTCTTCATCCTTCTTATCAACTCTTCTTTCAGAAGCCTTCTCATGATTTTTCCTGAAGGCGATGTCGGGATTTTATCCACAAATTGAAGCACCCTCACTCTCTTGTAGTTTGCCACATTAGAGGCAACGTAGTTCATGATCTCCTCTTCACTTTCCTTCGCATTTGAGTTCATCACTACACATCCTGCTGGTATCTCTCCAGCTTCTTCATCAGGCAATCTGCAAATGCAAAACAATTTCACACACACACACAAAATCAGTTTTCAATTCCAACTCTTGATGAATTCATTTAGACAACTAAAACGACATAACAACGTCGAACTTGATGATGGTATTTACCCCACAACAGCAGCATCTTCAACAGAGGAATGAGTTAGAAGGATGCCCTCTAATTCAGCAGGCGCAACCTGAGCATTAAAGTGGTTAAATTTTTTATTTTTTATTTTATTTTTTATTATTATTTTTTTTTCATGATGTTAGGCTAATTTTATATCTATATCAGATTAATTAGCCAAATTTTAGTGATGTTGCAGATATCAATCTTACCTGGAAACCTTTGTACTTGATTAGTTCTTTAATTCGATCCACGATAAAGACATCTCCATCATCATCAATGTACCCGATATCACCAGTATGAAGCCATCCATTTTTGTCAATGGTCTGGGCAGTCTCAACCTCATTCTTGAAGTAACCTGTTAATTGTGACATCAAGGCATTGTTGCAAGCCTTTTCAGGTCATTATAATAGCAGAGATAATACTAAATTACCTACTTTTTGAGTGGCTGCAAATATTATATATTGTTGCAAACCATTTGAAGTCATTGTAATGGCAGAGAAATTACTAAATTATTTACTTTTCAAATGGCTGCAAATAGTATATATTGTTACAAACTTTTTTAAGGTCATTGTAAAAGCAGAGAAATGCTAAATTATCTACTTTTTTTCAAATGGTTGCAAATAGTATGTATTGTTGCAAACCTTTTAAGGTCATTGTACTAGCAGAGAAAATGCTAAATTGTCTACTTTTCGAATACTGAAATGGCTGCAAATAGTACTATATATCCTATAGATAGATACCTTGCATCACACATTGGCTTCTAACACAGATTTCGCCATGAGTGTTCTTGGGGAGAGATTGACCGGTGTTTGGATCAACGAACTTCACTTCCATATTAGGCAGGACGAATCCAACTGAGTTTTTCTTTGAAATTCGATGTCCCTTATTTGGATCCCCGTGGCTAAGCGTAATGCAGCTGTGCTCTGTCATGCCATATGCCTAGAGTATATAGTAACACAAATTATTACAATGTGCTTCATATTATTGCATTCTTTATGCTATCTCTACACAAAAATAAGTGCTCACCTCTTGGACCTCAACACCGGGGAACTTCTTCTCAAACGCGCTAAGGATCTCAGGTGCAAGGGGAGCTGCTGCTGACATGACAGCCCTAAGCTTAAGCCTAGTGAGATCAAATTCATCCACCACAGGGTTCTTAACGAGAGCCTGAATGATTGGTGGCACGATAGGTGCAAACGTGATCTCATGAGTGATCAATGCATTCAGAAAGGCCTCGAGTTCATACCTCCCCATCACTACCACTTTCCCCTTGTTCTTCATTGTGGCACAACATATCCCAGTCATTCCATATATATGGAAGAATGGCATTAGTCCTAGTATGGTGATCTGTCCCACCAGTTCCGGTCCTACACTGAAGAGTGTGGAGCACAGATTAGCCACCAGGTTGCGATGAGTTAGCATTACGCCCTTTGACACGCCAGTAGTGCCGGATGAGAATGGCAGCGCGCATAGGTCAGTCTGGCGGACAACTTCCTTGATGATATCATTGCTGGCGCGGTCTGCTGCCTCAAGCAATTCGTCCCAACAAATGGTGCCCTCTACACGTTCCTCACCTAGTACTGTGACAGGACACTCCAAATCTTTCACCTACATAAGCATTGCTTAGATATGAACTTACTAGTAACATCATATGATTGGTTGTTTGAATCAAAATGAACATTATTTAGTATTTACCTTCTTATAGGTTGCACCATTGGTGACAATTAGCATGGCATCAGCAGCCTCCACTTGCTTCTTGATTTCCAATGAATGGGCTGAAGGATTGGCACCCGAGAACACGCCACCAGCAGCCATGATTCCCAGAGCAACAATGGCATACTCCGCGACATTTGGGAGCACAACCACCACCACATTACCCTTCCTGAGGCCAAGTGACCTCAAGGCCTTGGCAAACCTTCTTATGTCTCTGACCACTTGGCCATACGTGTACTCCTTTCCGGTGACAAGATCCACGAACGCCACCTTGTTGGCGTACAATTCAGCATCCTGAAGCACGAAATCCGGCAGTGTCATGTCTGACACTGCCACCGGCGGATAGAGGCTGCGGAAAATATGTTCTTCTTCATTTTGTGCCATGGTTGAGAATGTGACTGCAGTGCTGAGGCTTTAATTAATTCAATTGTGTTGCTTTATAGGAGATGGGTAAATGTGGATTGACAATCATGATTTGTGTGTGTTATTAGGAGATTGACAGAGGTGAGATTGTCATGGGGTTTTTATAGGTGAGAATTTGTTGAGTCATGTTGGAGTAACAGGGCTATCTGTATTTTTTCCTGTAACAAGCTTTTTAGTTGCTCAGATTTGGAAATGAGTTTGGAAATTTTCTGTATTCAAACAACTAGACAAAGATGAGTTGATCGGAGGTTTTAGTCAATTTCATGTGAACCTGAACATTTCTTCTGATGTATGAGTAGTACTGTTTGAACCTGGTGTGACTTTCAGTTGATGATCACAACCTAGTTACGCAATATAAAATTAAATTAAAAAAAAAAAAAATGTGCAAAAAAATCCTGTTATTTAGTGTGCAAATTGCTTCCTAATATCTGTTGCCAGTCAATTTTGTCAAATTTTTTTTATTTATAAAAACTCCAAAATACCCTTAAATAAACTCTCAGTTATATAAAAAATTTGCCAAAAACACCCTTATACTACTCGTTATGTAGTATGTACGTACAAATCCTACCATTTGAAATTGTGTGCAAAATTGCCCCTATTGCCGGTTAATTTTGACCAATTTTTTTGTAAGAAAATCCCAAAATACCCTTATATACCATTAAAAACTGAAATCAGTGTTTTATTTATTTATTTATTTATATTTTATGTTAGAGGTATTTTAAGTATTTCAGTCTTTAAATTGACAAAATATCCTTATTTGTTAAGTTGGAAATGTAATGTGTTGTTGTTGTGTGTGTGTGTGTGTGTGTTTTTTTTTTTTTTTTCACTCTACCCTTACTTATATTTAGTCATGGAAATATAATGTTATGAAGTGCAGTATTGTTTGTTGTCATAATTGCTTTTAGTTGTGATGGTCAGCCTTGATATGGACCTAATATGTTGTCTATTAGAAATTACATCAATCATAGTTGAATGTGAAGCATAATAACATGGTTACCAAAAGAAAAAAGGAAAAAGAATGAAAAGAAAAAAAGGAAAAAGAATGAGTAAAGTGTAGGGACAAGTACTTTGTACAAATAATGCAGATTAAATCATTTCTTTAATTACGGGTTATGGTTTAGTGGAATCTTCTTTACTTTTAAAATGTAAGATAGAGGTTTTCAATCTCCGAAGAGCATTGTGAGAGTTCTTGGCCCAAACAAGAAAAGAAAAAAAAATTCATTACTCTAGGAATGCTTGATAAACATAGAATGAAAGTTATGACTTAAATGGAGTGGAGTGAGAATATAAGATTCTTTAATTCATGTTCAAATGATTTTTAAAAAAAATGTATTGAGCTGTTATTATAAGTATTAATATATCCATATATGTGTTTGTGTAGTTAATAGTTTATAAATTAAAAAATAATAAATATAAATATAAATATGTTTATATATTTGTTTGTCCCATTTTACACCTAATTAAGTTCCTCTTTCTTCCAAAATTGAGAGTTAAGGATCATCATATATACTGAGTGCAAAATGGGCCTGTGTTATTTGGTAAGATTAACAAAAGAAGAAAAAGAGAAGTTCGAATCAACACCCAATTATACCTAAAATTAAGCCCAACAGTCAAATTCCGATTCGAACAGTGAGCTGGGCCTTATTCAACTAGCGGACTGATTCAAACCTAACATGCTCAGGCATGGACTTTAAAATCTCATGCAAACCCAGCCCGACTCATTTGGAATGCGAAAGAAGGGATGTGTTCCAAAAAAATGCAAAATTATTATTATTATTTTTTACCCGGCTCACACGGTCACACCTCATGGTGTGGCGTCAGGTGTGAGTGTCAATGTTCGAGCCACCCATCTTTTTCTTGGACTACAAGACACTTGCAAAAATGTACAACCCATATTTTAATTTTTAATGGTTATATTTGCGTACCACTAGCAATAGGTGTCATTTTCCCATTTATAAGATACACATTACAATTTTTTATTTAGTGATATAAAGTATAGTTTTTTCTTTTCCTTTTTATGTATCAGAAATGGAAAAATACTCAGAGAAAGCACTTACAAGCCATAGAGGCCACACATCCCATTCAATTAGGTCCTCCTCAGCTCTACACTAAGAAGAGGTTTCTTGCTCACCTCATGACACCAATATTCCCATTTCTAGGCACCCAACTCACTTTAAAATATAAATCTTCTTGAATCGTAATAGACACATCATCAAGAATACAAAAGAAAACTTAATACTCCCTCGTCCCATAAAAAAATGTCTACATTTTTATTTTTTGATGTCCCAATTCAGAATCCAATATACTGTTTATAATATTGTGGCTCGAATTTAGTGTTAGGTCGCGCTTTGACCCGACCACCCATTGGATGAGCTTTGTGTGGGCTTAAACTCACCAAAAATTTTGACCCGTTTTTTGTTCATGGGTTGTGAACTCTAATTAATATTTTATAACCCGATATATAAGGGTGCTTAAGATTTGGAGTAGTGTAAGAGAGATATTTCGAAATTCTTACAGAAATAGAGTAAGGGACTGAAAATTTGTAATCTCCAATTTTACACATAGTGATGACTTTCGCCGAATCTCAATCGTGGAAGTATTCAGTTGCCGAACCATGTATAAATATTTATATTCTTTGTGTGGTGTGTTTACTTTTTTGTCGTGATTCTTGATTTTATCTTGAGTTCGTTGCGTTTGGCATAACATTATTTTTTTAATATTCCTAATTTATCCTCTTTATCTTGAAGTTATAAAAGCATGTTGATTCATCATAGAAGAAGAGTATATTTGAAAATTTATTCCCTACCACTATAATGAAAAATGACATTAAAAACTTAAACTCTTAAAATATAAGATTTTTCAAAAGGGATATTTTTGTGAGAGAGAGGGAGTAATTCGAACATGCTGAGAGAGGGAACAAGGGTAACTTCACGGGGTCATTTTTGGTTTTTTTCGATTTTTTAGGACAAGTCTATTATGAGCACACATTCACTTCGATAACACTCCATGATAATTTTTTTCCCTTTTTAATGATCCATTTGGTTTGATGGGGGTAATAGAAAGAAAGAGAGATTTCAGAGAGAGAGAGAGAGAGAGTCTCTCGTTTTATTTGATTGAGTCGTACAGATAAAAAAATAAAAAAATAAAATTTATTGATATTTTTATTTTATCATTATATCCTAAAGTGCACTAGTACACTTTAAATAAGCCTAATAATGTCACCTAAATTTTATTCAACAAATATATATATTTTCATTTTTCTCTTAATATTGGATATTTAGGTGAAAACAAAATAAAGAGTTGGAAGGTTCATATCATCTAGGCTAGGCTATGTTTGACGCAGTAGAAAAGAAAGGAAAGAAAAGAAAAGAAATAATAAGATTAGTCACGAGAGAAAAAAAAAAAAAATGAAATGAAAGAAAATGATATTATTAACATGTCTAGTTGATTAAAAAAGAAAAAAAAAAAAAAAAAGAAATGAAATAGTAGTAATCATGTTTGGGAATAGAATAGAGAAAAAAATTATTTTAATGAATTTATTATCATACTATTTTTCATAAATTTTGTCTTTAATAAAAATATAGACAAAATTGATATTAACAAAATTTCCTTCCAATTCCTCCTAATTTTAAAAGGTTAACAAAATCAACACATCATACATAATTTGTATTCTTCCAATTTCCAAATACTTTGGTTTCCTTTCTTCTAATTTAAAAATTCATTCCAAACATAATATTTTATTTTTCTTCATTACTTTTTTTTTAATTTATTTCTCTTTTCCTTTTCCTTTTCCTTTTATTGCCTTCTAACCAAACTGGGCCCTAAAGTATCCTCCATCCTTTTCTTCTTTCACTGTGTTTTGTGTTTCTATACCTACCAATTCTTTTAACTAAAACAAAATGTGTACAGTCACTTGATAACCACATTGAACAATGGGCAAACGAAGAGGAAAATAGAGGAAGGAAAATACAGGGCAGGGGGATAATGGAGGCGACGTTATTCTTGTTGAGTGTGAGACATGTGGGGTCCGCAAATAAAAAGAGCATACCCCACTTTGATTCTGTGACTTTTCTGTTTAAGTTAAACCTTTTCTCCCACCATCCTTGATGGATACCACCACATTTATTTTGAGCAGCAATGTCACGGATGGTTCATAGACGCGACATCAATTACAGTATTGTTTGTGATTGCGGTATAATAAATTTGGATGAATATCAATAAATCAATCAGTTTATAGAAGTATATAATGGTATTGGACTTTTGAAAAATAATTACGAAAAGAGTGATACGAATTTGAAATAAATTCAAATTGGTGCAGAATTGATGGTAACGATTGCAAATTTGTGATGATCATTGGTGAGTTTAAATCTTAATTCTCAGTTTAGATTGAATAACTTACATTTAGTCGGAATCAAATGCAATTTGAAGCCTTTTTTATCACTAAATTATATAGAGCGTTGTCAGCCTTAGTTAAATTTAAGTGAAATGACACATGTTAAAATCATAACAATTCAACGTAAGATAATATAGAAAAATTTTAAACTCAGAGGATCCTAATCCTTGATGGATGCCGCCACATTTATTTTGAGAAGCAATGTCACCGATCGATCGCAGTCGCGACATCGATCAGTTAATAGAAGTATATAATGGTATTGGACCTTTGAAAAATAGTTACGAACTGAGTGATACGGTGCATATTGACTGATACGGCGAATCTCAAGTAAAAACTAAAAACTGAAGCTAGCGTACAATAATTAATTGGGTCGTTTCAATGAAAAATAGGTCTTCTTGTGATGAAACGATGTGAACAATTTTAATCCAAAAAAAGTCGATAAAATTGTTCTATATCTCAATGTTACAAAACAACTAAGACTACTTTTCATCTCAATAATGGTAACAATCAAACTTTTATCATTTTCATTATTTTAAATCTCATCATTGTAATAGTGATATTTCACTTC